TTGTACCGATGGAAGAGAAGAGGCGCATTTGTGATGTACACACCATGTGTCAGCGTTACAGTGGTCCGCAGTAGGCTGAGTGTATTTACAATTTCCTTTTGTTCACATAAGTCAGGATCATGAAGCCGAGTGGCAATCGTTTCGATCGCTGCCATTGATCTAGTATCTTCGCTATACAGCCAAATTGTGCAATATTCCCGGGCTCTTGACACAACCGAGATATATATATTCAATACGGCCAATAGTACAATTGGCATAGTGCCACAACGTATAGAAAATACAATATACATACGAAGATAGAGAGGGAAAAACGATGTTCATGGGAATAGTGAGTCACAACGAGTCCGCCATTGTGCACGATTTCTGGCCATATCCGAGAGCGTTTCCAGCCATGTAGGTTCTGGCTCCTACACACTCCAGCCAGAGAGCCGAGAGCGCCCGACTACGGCTAACTTTGACGTTAACTCCTTCATGCTCCTAGCTCAGGTCATACGTTGACCATTTTGCTTTCGCCTCCAGCCGACTTCTGCTTGCGCGAAAAGGGCACGGCGAGGTAAGCAATGAGTAGGCATGCGGAGAACGTGCCCTAGCCACTGAAGTATGTGCAAAAAGTTTTTACTGCTCAGTGGCCGGCAAAGTCTGTCTGATTTGAAAATCCTTCGTCGCGTATCTTCATTCTTAGTGTGATGTTGCCATCGTACACCAGCAATGCTCCGAAGGCAGCGGTGATCAAAAACAGACAGCCTCTCAACATCCTTTGTGCGAACAGGCCAAGTCTCGCTACCATAATGGAGAACCGCTCTCACTGTGACATTGTAAACTCGGCCCTTCAGAGCTAGGCAAATCACCTCGACGCCAGAGATGGCGGAGATAGGCAAAAGCAACCCGAGCTTTGGAGACGCGCAAAGTGGACTCATCCATTAAATCATTAACGCTGAGGCAGCTCCCGAGGTAAACGAACTTGTCCACCACCTCCAATGAATGACCTAGAAGGGTAAGATCAGGAGCAGTACCTAGCCAGTCCTGCGGGAAAACCTTGCATTTCGATGGTGCGAAGGTCATTCCAAACTGGGAGACAGACATCTCTAACCTACACAGAATATTTTTGGCGGCGTGTGAGGAAGCGCAGCTTACGGCGATGTCGTCTGCATACTCCAAATCCATAAGTCGGTCCCCCTGAAGCAGCTCGACGCCGTTGGGTTCGCAGTTCTCCAGAGCACTCTCCAAGATTTCGTCTATAGCGCAATTGAACAAGCAGGGGGATGCTGCGCAACCCTGTCTCACGCCACTGGTGATATCAGAGGGGAGGCGAAAGTCCGCCGTACACCGGCACTCGGCCCTAAGTTTGAGAGTAGATGTCTTGAAGTAAGGTGACATACTTCTCGGACACCCCCTTCTTAGTAGACAACTCCAGAGAGCAGCTCTGTCGACTGAGTCAAATGCGGGTCGTATGTCTAAGAAGACAACGATCGTTGGCTGACCACATTTTTGACGACGCTCAAGTATTTGGCGTAGTGTAAAGATGTGATCGATGCAACTCCGACCTGAGCGGAACCCAGCTTGCTCTTCACGTATGCTCTGTTTGCGTACCGGGCTGAGCCTCCTTAGAAGCATAGCTGCGAGCACCTTAGAAGCAACACATATTAGACTAATCCCTCTGTGGTTGCCGCAGTCAGTTCGGGTACCTTTTTTGAAGACAGGCACGATATCCGCTAGGCTCCAATCAGATGGGATAACTTCACTGACCCAGATCTCTTGGAGGAGAGAAATTAACTCCTGAACAAGTGATGGGCCGCCACCTTTGAAAAGAGCCGGAGGGAGTTTATCTGGGCCAGGGGCTTTGTAGCGCTTTAAGAGGCGAAGCTCGTGTGCAACCTCAGCCTCGGATGGTGGTGAAGCGTCTACACACCAGGGAGTGCACTGGGTTCCAGAATGATAACTCTGGTGTTGCTGCTCAAAGTGCTCGGCCCAATGCTGGAGTCGCCGTTTTTGACAGTGGATTGGCTCGCCATTGGTTTCGCATAAAACTTCGCTTACAGTCGGCCTTTTGCCACCAGTAGATCGGATCAGGAGGAAAAGCTTACGGAAATTCCCCGTGGTGGCCGCTTGCTCCATCTCAATGACCCGCTGCGTCCACCAGGCCTCACGATCTTCCCGGCGAAGGTGTTTGAGCTCAGCGTTAGTAGTGTTGCTTAGTGAAGGTATTTAACGCTAACAGGAATTGCTCGACGGGCTTCGAGAAGTTGGAGGGTTCGTGCAGAGATCCAGTGGTTGACAGGGCTACTTGTGAAACCACAGACCAGGGTTGTAGTGTTGTACATGGCGCAGCGGATTTGTGTCCAGTGTGCTTCAATGACTGTGCATGAGACAGTCGTCGGGCTTGAGGCCAAGGCACCCTGAAATGCGCTGAGAACGTTTTGGGGAGAAAGTTTAGCTACCTCAAGCTGTTTCTGGCGACCCTGCTGGTAGCCACCAAAACGTAGCATAACCTTAAAACACACCAGCGGGTGATCCGAAGTGAAGTAGGTACTGCAGTTTGATTTGCAGTGCTGTATGCTAACTCGCCAGCGATAACTAATGGTGATATGGTCAATTTGTGTCCACAGTTGGCCAGGTGATGGGGGTCCCCAGGTGGCGCGTTGGCGCCAGGATCTCCGAAAGCTAGTGCTCGACAGAAAGAGCCCGTGATCTGCACAAAGCTGAACTAAGATCACCGTTGTCAGTTCTGCAGGTGCCATGGCCGTGTTGACCACCGAGTTCACGTTCGTCAACTTCAAGTCTACCGACCTGCGCGTTCAAGTCCCCGGCGAGCATCACGACGTCGGCACAGCGCTTTTTACGGCGTAGGTCGTCCAGTTGACCATAGAACTCATCTTTAACTGACTGCGGGCTGCAATCTGTGGAAGCGTACGCTGCGACAATAAATAGACAGCGTCTGCTGGTTTCGCGCCTGGACAGTCACACTGAAGTTTCAAGTTGGATCGCGCATTGTCGACTGTTCACAGGATCCAGTCTAGTAGCGCGGCATCAGCACGTGTGCTCAACGCAATCCCCACGCCAGCATAACCAGCGGCTTCAGCGGTTGAGTCTCCAGATAGGCGCAAAGTAAAATGTCAGTGGAATTCGCAGACGGTGAAACTAGTCGCAGCGTCGTGCTAAAGTCCTGTAAACGGGTCTCGCTGAGACAGCAGACATCAATGGCCATACTTTCTAGAGTGCGAGCAAGGGCTGCCTGTGATCCAATCTGCATCAGCGTCCGAACATTGAAGTTGCTAGCTTGAATTGGGAACGGGCGCTAGAAATGGCTTGTCAACACGACTTGGCGCATCTTCGGACCTAGGCTCCTGATCCGTATAGCGAGAACGTTTGCCCAAGGCGGCACGATGTTGTGAACTCGAAAACAGAGGGGGAAGACCAAGAATGGGTGGTTGAACAAACGTGGAATAAAGTGACTAAATGGTGATACGGTAAAAGATGATTTGTCAGGTTCAGTCGCCAGCACTTCGGCCGATGAGAGCAGTTCGAGAGAGTGACAGTAGATAGAACGAGAGCGGAGAGAGCGAGCGAAGAATTGTTGTGACATGGATCCATAGGTTGTGTGTGCATAGTACTTCCCGGTTGCCCAGGCCGAGGAAGAGGGTTGACTTAGGGAACCCCACTCGGGGCCTTGGGTCATAAAAACCTAACTCGCAAGACAGCGGGACGATTGACGTATACCACGACCGTTGGGAGCTGGCTCTCTAGGTCAAGGGCTTTCGATTACAGATAAACTACTCAGGGCGCCCAAAGAGCCCCAGTGAAGCAGCAAGGACTACTGAGCTCGCCTCGAAGCATGATGGCCATTTACAGCCAGGTGGTTCATACGCCTTCAGAGAACTCGGTGGCCATCGAGGTATTTTGTCCGCCCTCCGTTGAATACTCACTTCCGGTTGCGGGAATGAGTAGTTAGTGACCCTATAGCCCGTCACATTGGCTTTGCCACAGTGTCTTGCGAGCTCTTGTGGTATTTAATGAGGAATCCGGTGACCAGCCCAGATCCCCCACGCTCTAGGACGCTGCCACTGATTGTCCGCGACTGCTTATTCATCTCGCCTGCGAACAGCCGAGACTTATTCACAGTTACTTTCACAATGAAGGCCTTCCCGGATCTGCAATCTGGGGACGCTTCCGGTGGCGTCCAGCCCTGCCGAACCAACCAGTAGTCAGTTCACTTCCAAGAAAGAGTATACATAGGGAGAAGCGCTTGACATTGGAATCCTGTTACTTACCTTCCATGCCATTCATTCTTGGTGTATTGGCCTGATGATGAACCACCGAAAACGAGCTTGTTCGTTAACATTTGTTTCAGTCATAGCATTACTGGACACTGCTTTTTGACAATGGTCGCCTTATGGCCATTACGTGCTGTAGGTACTAGGAGCTTCGTCTCATCTGCCTGTTGATGTTTGCGCCAAGTACTGCTTGTGTCCATTGCTGGATGATCATCGAGTGAGTACCTCGTGGACTGCAGTGTGACTACAGACCCTGTGCTTTTCCTCACTGAAGTATCTGGCTCACTGGGTCGTGGTATCCTTCATATTCCTAGTAGCCAACCTCTGGCGTGCTTCACCTGCCCATATTGCGTTTAGTTGCGTTAAACTTTGGGGTGGCTCATCTATAACGTGGTGCATGATTTCTGGAAATCCACCAAAGGTATCGACGGAATTGGTGCATGTCTTATTCTTAGTGGCGAGGTTTTCGGGATCGTCAGCATCATTGTTTGAGTGTGTTATCGGATATGACACAGGAAGGTTGGCGTCTTTCATTTCTATCCCTTGTCCATGTTCCTTGATTCTCCATTCTTCCCTCTTATTTTTGTCGGCTTTTGGATTATTATTATTACTGTTTTTAGTACTGGTGACGCGAGTCAAGTTAGCACGAAACACGGTTAGCCAACTATCTAACTCATCTCCGAACTATAGCATTCTGATTCTTAATGAAATCGTTTCTACCCCTTTCAGTCAGCTGAATATGCAGCTTTGGGGGCACTCCACACAATTATCCATCATCCTGGTCCCCCGCGATAGCACCCTGGTCAGTCAGCTCACAGGTCCCGTCTCCGGTGGTTATCTCCTTGCCTGGGTCCTCGTGGAGCTACCGGTGAGTTGTTTCCTCCATTGTCCCATTTCTTTTCACTTTGGCTCCTTGAATCTCCATCGGCATAATGGACTACCGCAGTCAGTGGAGCATCCGCTCCTTATGGATTGGATTCCATCTCGCTTCCCTTCACCTACGCTTTTCACATTCGTCCGCAACGGTCACCACAATCCTTCGCTTTACTTCGCAACGTTCAGATAGCTATTCTCATATTGGATAGCTGACACAAGGCTATTCTCCGTTTCATCCATATGCAGGCTCGCATCAGGTGGCCTTGTCAACCAGAAATTCGTATGTAAGTGTAAAAGTCTCTGTGGTTAGATCAACTCTGCTCAATCACCTCATGATGCTAGCTGGATGGTCGGGTTTATCCCGTTCCAGCAAGTAATTCGACAGCAGTGCTTCAGGAGGTGGTGAATCTTTGCGTGGTAACCTTTCTCCCTACCAAAGCCATGCATGTATGTTTAAAATTACTACTAAGTGGCAGATGTGACTCGCTGCCACGACTGAATTCGGATCCTCACGCCCTAAAGGACCTAGCTGTTGGGCGCGAGCTGCGACTGCACTCGAGATTCAGAAAAAAAATGAAATTCTGTCCGATGACAAGAGTTCGTCTACCGACTCAGCTAAAAGTGAACATGCCTTCCACACCTTCGTGTTTAGAACTCAGTAGCATAATAATAATGTGCCAGCTGTACGCCGTAACGGCGCTTTGCTGCCGCGCGACCACCACCAGTCTCGCGCGGGCTGAGTATACCGCGAGGACGCCCACCCTTACGCGGATTCGAACCGGTGACCTTATGGTTGCAAACCAAACGTGCAGACCACTCGGCCACCGGCCGACACTCAGTAGCATGGAAGAGGTAAAGTATGGATTATGGAATGCCAGTACCGCGCATGAGTTACCACGTCGTGGTAGTGTGCCGAGGTCAGTGTGGCTTCAGACAGTAGATACAACAGCGTCCTACGGAGAGCTTAGTTGAGATCACTGGATGCAGAAATGTCCCTGTGGGTCTAGATACGTTGGGCACACAACCAGATAAAAGAAGCAACACTATAGAACTAGCTTAAGTGCCCTAACCAACCATGTGCTCTACACCGGGCATCACGTTGATAAAGGGACAAAGTGCCATCTCAGAAGATCCATCGGCTACGAGTGCGATTGCTTGCTACCGCAGAAACGGTATGCATAAGATTGACAAAACTAAACCTGTGTTCAGAAGAACCACATCCAAGTCTTACAACTGCGATGGCCATCAGCCAGACAAGAGGAGTCCGGCTCAACTCAACAATCATACGTGCCTTCCATCACGTGAATCGCGGACACCTATCGATGCGGACGTTTTAAATCGTCTGATCAGTTGTTACCTTTTGTACCCACAAATTACTTTAACACTTGTCACCGTTTGTTTCCGTAATAAGCCTGATGATGAATAGATCGAAAACATTTGTTTGCTTTGAACTTGCTGCTTATTATGTTTCTCGTTGGGAATATGTGGGGAGAGTTTAAGTGGAGTCTGCGCAGCTTAGGGGGGGGGGGGCAAATAACAAAGTTGGATTTTTGATGAGAGCTTTAGTTGTACTCTGTGCGGACACATTGCAGCAGTTTGAATGAGGAGAGCTCAGTAATAGCTTGCTCATTTTCAATCGCCACTTAACAACAGTATTGCTGTGCATTCTATGTTGACAGGCCGAGGTGAGCTGTGCACAACTTTTGGTGGAATTATGTGAATTCCACAACAGTTTGCAGTTAGCACCAAACTAAATATATATGAACTGCCAAATCCGTCATTGACTTCAATTAGGCGTAGCTCTCTGACTTGTTCCCACATCTTTGCAGGTTGGCTATTTAACAAAAGACTCGGGGTGTTGTATCCTAAATTAACTGCCTACTTTGCTTTGGGAATCCGAGTAGTATCACGCCATCTGTAGAAAACATGCAGTTTTGTGTAATGTCCAGTTTTACGAAAACTACCCTACTCCGGCTTCCTTTATTGATGGATTTCCGTCTATTTACCTGACTGCTACAAATATGCACGATAGAAATTTCTCATTTGTACACCCCCTTGGCGTTAGCAATTAAATATACTCATCACATCTAAACGCATCAATTCAGGACCTTCACCTCGTTTACAAAGCGAAAATACCATACGTTCCTCTGCGTGAGTGACAGCGATACCTGTCAAAGTGACTCCTGGCGAGTGCAAAGTAGCTTGCTCCATCTGATGAGGTTCCAGTCCCGTCCACCTCTCATTCAAACTGCTTCAAGATGTCACTCTCCGTTCTCTGGTCGTTGAAGTCAAAAGGCGGCGTTATCAAGCAGAACCAGCTTTTGCACATGTGTTTCTTGCCGCATGTCGAAAGCCATTCACCGAACTGGCTTACACTTCCTACCACTGGCCGGCTTTCTTTGCCTTTGTGGACCCTGCTCGGCCTCCATCGACGGTTTTCGAGTCTCATGTGCTTTATCGCTGGGTCTCCTTTTCCAAACGCAGGTACTGTGACATGGTCTTCATTGCACTCTATGCCTTTGCTTTAGCTAGTGTCAGACAACACTAGAAAAAGGATCGGCCGCGTATTCGAGGAAGGCCGAGGCATCTCAGCTATCGTCCATCTCGACGTTCAGCTTATCCTGGACAATGTCCAATGGTTATCAATCGACGGCAGGCAGCGGGCTCCGATTGCTTTCATACTGTGTCGTAATCTTGGAAGAAACAGCTTCCTCTCCATTTTTCTATCTGCTTCATGTGCGGTCTTATTGATCGAGTGATCAAGATTCACTTCAGTGGGAATCGCGGTCCACATTGAGACTGCGTATTGCAACCCCCAGCCACACAACGTATGCTGTAAAATGATCCTCCACACAGCATCATCTCCTGTTTCCAACATCAGTCGAAGGCGTTTAGCCTACCAAATCATTGATTCATGCTTACGTATCTATAACTGATAGTGTTTGCGTGGCAGCAAAGCGTCGGTACACGCCGCCGACCTACTGCTGATTTCTTGTCTTAGAAGAAAAAAAGCGTCAGCAGTACGCCGGTACGCAGTATTAACGCTTCGATGCCGCGCAACCACCACCAATCACGACTGAGCTAAGGATACTGTGTAGGTCACCCGGTACCCTAACTAGGCTCGAACCTACGACCTAGGATTACAAGACCGGCTTGTAGTTTTTTCTGTCTGTTCTCAAACCACCCTACGTTAGTACACTCATTGTAGACGTTCAGTTCCCGTGGGTTCATGAGTCTGCACACTGTTTACACTCATGAGTTTTGTTTATTTTTACTCATTATGCAGGTTGTTGGTATGAGCTATTTCTGTCTGGTCCAACTAGACCGATCACAATCTACATACCTCATTTGTTAGTGAGCGTGCTTAGTGAATTCTGTTTTTAAGTGTCTCTGGTGCTCTTTTCGATAAGTTGTACCAAAACTGTGCGCGAGCACTTTCGAGCTTCGGTTGGTTACATTTAGTGGGGACACCGATGCTCACCCTGATGGCAGTCTGTTTCACTCCATTAGTCTAACGGATTTTGAGCTGTCCGTTGGTTTAAGACTGGCAAGAATGTTGTTCATTTTTCGTTTTCATCGAGCTGCTTAACACATCAGCCATCTGCGCATACTTTATGGGTTAGGATGTGCGTGAATGGTGATCCCCCTGTTGACCGTTGCCCCTCTCTTGTCTCTGACTTAACTGAAGTGGACGCACGCTTCTGTTTGGTGCGCTTTACAATCGCTAAACTAATCACAACTGAACGACATGGGTTAATTGATTAAAAACATGATTCCTGGATGATTGCGAAGTCGATGATACTCTCATCATCGTCCGCCATACATCTTACGGCGTTGCTTGTCCGCCAAGGAGCCTAGTTCATGAGCTAGCTTCATTAGCTCCACCTTTTCATGTAACCCCAACCTCGAAAGTCCACTCCTGAATTCTCTGTGGGGATGTCTAGGAGGCAATCACACGAAACCACCGTTCTCGGATGCCACAAGAGCTCAGCATGATGGGAAACAGTCTGCCCGTTACACTTGCCGGGCTACTCCTTCGCACTTCCCCCCCCCATCAGTTATTCATTATGTGCACAGACGTTTCTGATTTTTATAACACTCGGATTCAACAACAGACTTCAGTGCCCCACCACTCAGCCCTAGTTCTTCGCTTTCAATTACAGGTCTGTGACGACACTCGAGAAGGCAAATGGTCCCATTTTACGAGGCTGTGATTACTAACTTCGTAGTAGGTTGTGGTTGCTGCGGTTTTGTCGTTTTCGTGACGCAACTACTGATGTGGCTACCTGCACGTCTACTACGCGGTAACCCGCTACTTCTCCACAACGGACACACATTTGAGCTATCTCGGTCTTCAATTCTTTGTCGGTGTAGTTGACCTAAGCACTCTAAGAATAGCCTGGATTGCGATTTTGCGTTATTGTTTCACACCAAGCGGGTAGTCAACAGTTTCGAAAATCTACCTCGACATCAAGTTGAATCAACATTCAGCGAAACTGTAAAGGTTCAGCGCCGGCATCTCCTCTATCAATCCTAACACCCACTTCATCACTCATCATGACACCGGCATCCACAGATCTGATCGCTTCCCTTTCCTCTTGGCTCTTTTAAGACTATAAATGGCTCCTCTCATTCATATGCCAAGATGACGTTGACCCAGGATCTCGCACAGCGTGCACAGCGTGCACAGCGTGCTTCCAAATTCAACTTGAATTACTTTCCGCTGTGCCAAGCATTGCTCGCGGATCTCAGTAGTATAGTGTTCAGGGCGTCAGCCATGAGCTACTAAGCTCTGAGTTCCACCCCAGCTCAGGCTATCTCCACCTGACGAGTCTAAACCAAGACGAAACCGCGGTCGTGGGGTGTCAGGGTTGGGAAGAGCAACACCCTAATAAATCCATTCAGGATACGGTCCTCGAGATCGGAATGACCGAGGTTTACCTCAAAGTGAGCCGAGGTCTCAATAGAGGTTGCGAGTCGCAACCCAGCCACACAGCGTGCTTCCAAATTCAACTTGAGGATCTCGCACTGTTTTCGGGTTCCTCATCTTCCCATTATCCATTGCTTTTCTGGTGCAGTAATAGCATCCGTCAACTGGGGTCTTACAATGGACTCTTCGCTGTCGCACTAGATGGTTATGCTCCAAGTACATAGGTTATTGACTCGGCATGCTTCCCGGCATGTTATCTCGGCACATGTAGTTTCTGCTAATGATGCGCTTGTTTGAATGGGACCTCACATTGGCATTACAGTGATGGGGCTTAGGATCGGTATCATCAGTTGTATCCTCAGCGGAACTCTTGCCTGTTTTCTCTCCTTCTCTTGATTTATTTTTATCGTTTTTCCACGCCGTCCCTATCTCTGATTATCAGAATAAATTAGTTCTTGCCGAAAATGACACTATCTCAGCGAAACTGATAATATTTCATGGGAACCTGCAGTTCGTTCGATAAAATCCAAGCATGGCACGTGACACCTGTCCATTGGGCGCCGCAGTGACAGGCAACTGTGGAACCAGATGTCCCAACCATGTGCATACGTGTAACTGTGTTACTTGAATTTGTAGAATTGCCGTTCCACTTTTGATTGTAGCAGGTTACGTCGTCAGCGTGAGAAGGGATGACTGCTGCCTGTGTAGTGAATATGCTCATCCGCGTAATCAAGGGCAGTGACTTTATTTAGTGACGAGTAACATCCGCCACGTCCCATTGTGGTTAACCAGACTTTTGTGGATTGTTATAGGGAGACCGCATGCCATGCAAAAACCCATCGCCTCCTGGAACACTGCCGCCAAACTATTTGCTGGCAACACTGGGAGTTTGTTCCGCGAGCCAGTCAGTTGATCGTAGTTACCCTCTTCATTCTCTATTTACGCAGCACATTGTTCCACCATTTGTAGTGACTCGAAAACCCACCAGTTCAGTCCGTTTTGCCAACTTCTTTTACCATTCTCTCATATTGTGTAACTCTCCAATATTGCCTGTCATTCAAACCGTCGTTCCTCCATTTATGTGTGTTCATCTGAGGGAGGGCTGTCGTTTCTCCCCCTGTGGCTTGTGTCTATTTCTCCTTCCTGAGACCAGTAGGTGCAGTTGCTTCACATATTAAAAATTTATCGTCAGCTGTACGCCGTAACGGCGCTTCGTTGCCGCGCGACCACCACCAGTCGCGCGTAGTCTGAGTATAACACGAGGGCGCCCGCCTGCACGCGGATTCGAACCAGTAATCCTATGATTGCAAGCTATACGTGCAGGCCATTCGGCCACTAGCCGGCTTTCGCGTCTACGTCAAACACGAGTAGTCCCGATCCACTCCTTTATCTCACATTGACGTACCGTTCCGTTTTGTTTCTGCCCTTCAGATTATGCCTCTCATCATTGAATCTTTGTCCTTCCCATTTCTCTCTTATAACCACTTCACCATCCTTTTTTTCTGACAGCAACCTGACGAGGCATGCAGGCTAACTGCTGCGCTGTCGAATTCTATCAGCCCAACAGCGTTGCCTTTGGGTATCCTTTCACCGCCTCCCAACGCTATCCCCAATCCTGTACCTCCTGGAACGATCGCCTTCGTGTGCCTCAGCTACAGCCCGAAACGAAATCGTATTTATGGTAAGCCCTCCCTACGTTATTTCTGTCTTTTTGGATTTATTCTTTATCGCTTTTCATTCCAACCGTAGACATTGTCGCTTTGGATGCAGCCCTCATTGTCCTGCCTATTCTGACCTCTGAAATCTCGCCGACTACAGTGCTGCCTGGTTCTCAATCACAGGCCCAAAACTCTAACATAAAGCCGATAGTCATGACCCCACTGCTCGCGAATAGACATCCCATTGTCACTAGCTTCTGGGAACACCATTCAAGCCGTTCAATTCATTAACCGCTAATTTGCTGTGATAATATCATACTGTTTAACATTTGTATCGGTCCCGTGGCTTATCGGATCAGTTTTTCTACGCCAACTTCTAACTTTCTCAAGGGCTTGCCGAGCGCAACGTTTCATCATCGTGACGTCTTTTCACCAACATCTTCATGTATCACAGATGGTTTATTGTCACCTGTGCGCGGATACCGATGAACCCTCAAGCAGGATTTCTTCCATTCATCCGGCTAGGATCGAATTCGATAAAATACTCATTGGACGCATTTCCTCCCCTCTCGACTACTCTGTGTACCTCATTTGCCACGGGATTTTATTTTGCTTGCTAGCTGTGCGCATTGGTATTCCATTCCCTTTACCTGGGACTTGTGTGCGACATTCTTCTCGCTTCTGGTGTAGATGTGTTACATCACCTGACGGCAGCACGTGCGCCTCAAACGGTTGTCACTTTAGACGACGGCCAGACTTCGAATAATTATTACTATTATTATTATTATCGTTATTCTTACGCTGTACAACACGGTCGCTCGCCTCACTTCCATAACGTACTTCTGAGAACTCCATGCGTATGTTGGCGCCTCTATTTTTTTCCTGTGGAGCTCGGTAATGGATATCTCCATACCTGATATACCGCAGACGCCTGTGCAAACTTATGTTTCTGAATGCCTCTCCCTATCCGCTTCGGTTCTGTGCGCGTTTTTTGGGTTCACGGTGTTCTGTAGTCCAGTGTGGTTTGCTCGTTAATCAACTGTAGCGTTTCCGCTCTGTTTCAACCGGACTCATTTTCCATCAGCCGTCTGTAATGCATTGTGTAAGCTATTCACCGATTCGCTGCTCACCTCCGTGTGTGTGTGTGTGTGTGTGCACGCGCACGTGAGTTCGTTTTGGTTTGTTTCAACGCACTGTTTTTTTACGACTTGCACATTTCCTTTTTTCTTCATGCACCTTTCCACACTATCTGTTCATTTGCGTCCATTAATCATTTTTGTATATTCTCCGCGTTTCTCTCTCCCTCTTTCCTCATACAACGTCCACGCTAGCGCGTCTATTTTAACCACCCGATTTTCGATCCATGCTTTGCCTGCAGAATTGATTCTGTATGCTTATCTGCACTCAGTTGCGTTGAGCCTATCGTTTTGATGCTTAGGCGTCACATTACTAGCTGCTGCCTTACTGCACTAACTGTGCCACTCTCGTCATTAGCACAATTCATCCCTCGGGTTTAACGATCGTTTTCTCTTTACCAGGTCTCATTCCATCCGACTCGGAGCAGTTCCGGAACGATTTGCCATCCCGTCATTCGGTGAGACCATTGGGATCGGACATCCATGGCACCGGGAACTCATTGCAGCGCGTCTACGCACCGTCCCCCACGACCGCCGTTTCGCGTTCCCATGCCGTGGTTCCGCTCCATGAAGATCAGCTTATGCAACGTACAGCCATCCCTCCGAGCCTCTCTCAGCCCTCCTTCATCCAGCAGGACCCTTTTCTATGTTATTCCGGAGTTCAGCGGGTGCGTTTGTATAGATTTTCGTCTCTTTTTCAACAAACTCCTCCCCGCGCATCTTTTGAAACACTTAGGCTGGCGCCTGAGCGGTCTCTGTTTGGGCTGATCTGTCCCGCGCAGCACACTGGAGAGTGCGTCGGTGACGTACTTTGCCCAATCATGTCATGCACTGTGGCTGTCAACATATCTGGTCACGGCTTCCATCCAAGGGCTTTTGGACGCGCCTATTGCTATCCTGTTGATCTAACTCTTAGTCAGTCTGTTTCCTCTGTGTGTCCTGTGGCGGCGGAACTCAGTCACGAAGACAATTGTTTCTACTTCTGCTTTCCGCACTGGCGAGCGGCTTTGCTGATGACATCAGCTTTACGCCCGTACGCAGTACTGTCGCTTCACTACCGCGTAACCATCAGCAGCCGCACGTGGACCAAGGATTCTACGAGGGTTCCCCGGTCCTTACACAGACTGGAACCCGTGTCCTCAAATTATAACTCAGACTTGTGATCCTTAGGGCTAGGGGCTTTGCTGAACACGCAGCCTGCCCCTTGGTAATGTAACACCAAACTATCTGTAATATAACGCTTGCACTATCTAACTGCACTATTCACTATCGTCTGCACGGAAATTTCGCCAGTGCATGGTTACTTACAAGGCAAATTTACGTGTTTTCTGACTACCATATGCCAATAGTGTTGTAGTTTCGGTGACCAATCTTCAGATCACGGGTTTCCTCAACCTCTCTGATGAACGTATTACTAGGTTCCCATATCAGCGACCTTATCGCTCGCAACTCGTTCATTCAGTACAAATGTTTGTGTCACTCAGTTCCAGTTTTCCGGGTAGCGAACGCCGCGAGCAATCAATGGTGGTCTCATTGCCTAGCGGTTGCTTAGGACGTATTCTGCCGATACGCCTAGAGACTGCTGCTACCTAAAAGTACTTGATGCATTCGTTACAATGAGCAAGGTTTCTGCTATTGTTCGCAATGCGGCGAAACTTTCACACCCGCGTACCTGTAGTGGTGGTTTGTTTCACAAATTGGCATATCTCACTAAGCAAAAGATTGATCGGATTTTTTGACCTGAACATTGTGAGGGTAATGGGTAGACCCCTTCCCTCATTCACTGATTCGTCGGTTTGGCTCTACAGTTTGTTCTGAGAATGGAACTTTAAGTTCCGCACATGTGCTAATCTGATTACTTTTGTTATTTGTATGTTAGGCACTTTGCGGCCTGACACGACGCTTGACGCTGTTGGACGTCTAACCCTATCGCATGGGTTAGTCTAATCGATATGCCCAAATGAACGTTTGGGTTTACTTAGATTTACTTTCCTTCTCTGCTGATTGAGCGGGCATTGAGCCGGTTTACGTCGAATCGCGTCGAGTACGTAGATTTAAACGGCGCCCTGTCCTGGTGTGTTTCCGTCATTCACTAACTCAAATCGCCACATAATCTTACACCACCAATGGATTTTCCTTGCGCTTTCTGCGCATCGTTTTTTTTCCTAGCCACGCATATACACCATGCGCAGTGGCTCAGTGGTCTCCGTGTGAATCACAAAATCACTCGGAACCAGGCGGACCTTCTTTTCGGCACCAAGTGCTCCGACTACACTTACTTCATGCTGTACCGAGTATGTTTAATCATCACAACTTATCACCGTTGTCTTCTTCTTTTCCTTGCTATCTCCTCTTGCGCCGACTGACCGTGTGCTTGTTTGTAACTTTTTCTAGCTTTGCTTGGGTGCGTCTGAGAAATTCCTCTTAACGCTGTGATATATCTATTTATGCAGTAGTGACTTCTGGATCCGCGTAATGTCTACGAGAGTTTGTCCCCAAAGTCCGCCTCCACAACTGTAGAGTGCGTTGGATCTGCTTTTCATTTCTGTTCCATATTATAACCGAAATTATCATAAATACCCTCTCTCTCTCTCTCCTGAGTCGCCCGGAGAATCCGACCCGCCGTTGTTAGCTAGCTAATATCCCCGCACGCCTTTAGTTTCACATGTACACTTTACCAATAGTTCGCTTGGCTGATTGGTACCCAGAGGCGATCAGTTTATGCTACCACAGTGGAAAGGCTGAGTCGAATAATCGCATTCTGCCGTTCTACATACGGTCTCGAGATCGGCATCTTCAGCGACCAGATCTCCTATCGAGAAGGTGATGCGGGCACGACGTTCTACAATCACTCGCTCATTTTCGGGACCTTAACCACTACGTCTCATCTGATGCGCCGAGTTGACTTTAACCACCGCAGCGCGAAGACGGAATTCACGGCATTTTGACTACTCTATCGCTCTCGTCAGTCGTAACCGCATTTCTTCGCTGAATCCATTTCCAAATTTGTATGTCTCTGTGACCGCAAACAGCCACAGGACGGCTGCGCATACAGAGGGACCACGGGTGGCTTGCATTACAGCACCCGCAGCTCGATCCACGCCTCATATCCGGTGCAAACCGGAGTGATTGAGATCGGGAAGCATGTGGATGGGAGCCACGTTTCATTAACTGAGTTGGTTCATGCTCCCTGTACATGCACAGCTTCAACATTTCTGTCTATCTGATTTGGGAATCATCCGCACCAGATGTACACAAAGCGGTGGATGGTCCACTCCACACTGGATGAGACCACTGGTTAAGCCTAGCACTGTCAGGAAGACTATGTACCCTGTCTCGCCCAGCAGCGACCAACTGTCTCCTGGAGCAATGGAACGATGGCATATTGCGAGCAAAATAGCGGGTGCTTTATAACTCCCGTAGGATGGCCAGAAAGCGAACCATAACAAAGGGATAAAATGAAAATTGCTTTGGTGGACTCACCACAGTGTTAACACACAGGCACGCCGAAATAGCCAACCACAGTCGTGTAGGTTAATTCTGGTTGTGCAACTTTCGTCGCATTATCTCCTCTGTCGAGACACGCCGGCTATATCTCGTAATGTAAGTGGGTTAGGGCAACGTCAAGGTGCGCTGTAGACTCCAAAGCAACGAGCACGAAGCAGGTCAAACGGTTGTTCGATCATGCCTATCAACTTAGACTGAGGACCCTAAAATTATACAGTGGCCGGTACCGGCGCCTACGTGGCGACCTTATTATGGTCTATCAGATTCTAAGGAACCCCAACCACGTCTGCCGCCACCTACTACCACTGAACCACAACACAAATTTGAGGGGCTACCAGTTCAAGTTAGCCACACAATACATTCGGCTAGAATATCGACGGAACGTTTCCCCTTTTCGTGTGTGCCAGCCATGGAACGTCTTCCCAAATTATGTTGTTTCCGTCCGCACTTTACCTGTGTTTAAAAAACACCTTGACGTTGCCCTAACCCACTTCCATTACGAGATATAGCCTGTGTGTCTCGACAGACGATATAATGCGACGGACGTTGCACAACCAGAATTAACCGACACGACTGTGGTTGGCTATTTCGGCGTGCCTTTGTGTTAACACTGTGGTGAGTCCACCAAAACGATTGTCATTTTATCCCTTTTGTTTTCTATTCACCATGTTGTGGTTCTCTTTCTGGCTATCCTACGGGTGTTATTAATCATGCGCTTTTTTAGCCCGTAATAAACCATTGTTTCTCCCCCCCCCCCCGCAGAATGTTCAGTACTATTGAAGTGCTGAATCGACACGCCATTGATTCTAGCGTTCACTGAGAAGCTATTGTAAGCGACCCAAATGGACTACTAGTGGCAGAATTTAGGTGCCCTTCTTCTTTGGCTTCTTTTGACGAAACCTTTTCTTGTTCTCGTGTCGTAAATGTCTAGGTGATTCTTCATTATGTCTCTTTTGGTGGACCCTTTTCACTTATGCCTCTTGAATGAGAGAATCGAACAGAATGCCACTCACCGCATTACCAGTAGACATTAGGTCCTCAGTTCTGTGCTTTCGGATTGGGCTTGTCTGGTGCGTTTCGCCTCGCACTTGTCACTGCATGGACACTGTGCTCTGTTGAGCAGAACAATCTTCCTGACAGGGTACAGTGTCGTATTTGGACGCTGGTTTTCGTCTGTATTCCACCGTGAGAGATCCCAATATCTTAATCCAGCTTAGCAACTAGCCGTGTTCCTGTACACACAAGTAGACATAAAACAGTTGAACTGGTCATCCCTCAAGGGGTGTAACTCGATGTGTTCACACTCACGATTGATCAGGTTCGCTTGTGTTCCATACTCTTCCGTACCCCACTTGATAATTTTCAGATACTGCTTGCGTCGTCTCTCTTGGCTGTTTTTAACTAAATGTGATCATTGGACATAGAATGTTCATTTGTGTCAAGTTTGTGGAGCAGCATTCGCACTTTCTACGTATCCAAAATGCATCCGGAATCAACGTTTTGGTTGTACCAATTACTTGAATTTCAGAGTAGATTAATAAAACTTGCCTACATGTCCCGCGAATAGAGGTGTCCGCGAGGAAACGCAAAGAATGTTGATTCACGTCGAAGTACTTTGGGCTTTTTCTTCAAACATAAACTTCATATTGCATCGGCCGTCGCGCAAATTATCAGGGGTCGCCTTATCTGCTACATACAGCAGGGCGGATAAGCGGGAACATGCTACTGCTAGCGCCTCCCTTCTTTCTCTTCCACCTGTTTCTCTTACTCCCATCCCTACCCCCATTACTAACCTTCCTTCTATAATTCCCACTTTAATTGACAACAACACAAGTGCCACTGGAGTAGAACTATCTGCAGCCACCATCCCACAACGCCTATCGGCAACAGTCCCTTATAAGGCCACTCTATCACATTTCCACGCCGACATTCAACGTTCGTAGTCTAAGACAAATAGATCAACAGGCAGCACTCGCACGCGCCTTGGACACACTGGGTATTAATGTGTGTGTGTGTTCTGTGTCCGAAACAAGGATCAGCAACCTTAAAGGGGTTGTTGACTTAACTGCACCCGGCTTCTCCTCTCGCTATTGGTTGTACGCATCTGGAGACGCCGATGCAACACTCACAGGTCAAGCTGGGGTAGGTATCATTCTCAGTTCCAAGGCTGATCCATTGTTGGTTGATTGGATTCCGGTGAACAGCCGTTTATGTGCAGCCCGTTTGACGACATCAGCCAAGGTTGATTCACGAACTAATACTAGACGCTGTTTGTTTGTGATTTCCGTTTATGCTCCCACCGATTGCAGTTCAAATGCTGTCAAGGACACGAACTTAACACGCTACTACGCAGTGCTACTAGTTCAGATGTTATAGTACTTGCAGGAGATATGAGCACACAAGTAGGGCATCTGAGCTCTCCAGAAGCTCAGCTGGGTGTTAATTAGAGCTTAACTCTGAACGCACTGACAATGACGAGCGTCTGCTGTAATTGTGTGCGGAGTACCAGTTGTTTCCTAGTAACACTGCTTTTAGACACAGTGGGCGCCGAAGTGCTACTTGACGTCCTCGTGTATCTGGCCAAATTGACCACATAACTATAAGTGCTTGGTGAACACTACTACTTGTTTTTATCATCATCATCATCGAATATTCTCCAGAATCGTACCGCCTCTGGCAGTCATATCTCCACGGAAGCTATCGGTATGGTATTTGCCATGCGGCCACAGATCAGAGAGACAGTGCCTGTGAGTTGAGGACACTCAGGAGGTAGCGCTGCTTGACTGCCGGTGTCGGCGTACCATGTCTCATTTTCAATTGGCTCATCAAGTGAGCAATTTCACCGATCAATACCACTATGCATTGTATGTTGAACTCCAGTCGTCCATTTCGGTCCGGCTACTATCCCTTGATCGTCAACCGCCAATGTCCGCATGTACTTGATTGGACAATGCCTCAGCTGGGTCAGCCGGTGATCTAGCGTATTTGAATGAAAAAGTCGATCGGCAGATTTAATCAGTCCAATCTACATACATTAGGAGATTGGCTACACCGATGGTCGGTGGTCCTTTTTCTCCCTTATTATCCGAAGTCACCTTGTCAATGGATCTTTAACATGAAGTTTTTTGCCTCTACCCAACAACCATTCCTCCTAACGGTCATCCCTTCCCACTTCCTTCCCATTGAAGTTCTGTCCTTAATTGGTCCCTCTCCTTTATTCCCCATTTGTGGTTGGTTCTTTTCTCTCGCGATTCTAGCTCATAATTCATTGAACTGGATCACTTTCAGTTTACAAATCACATGTACTCTTTTTGGACTCTCGGCAGCTTGCCCACATTGTAGTGATCTTCTCTGTTGCTCCATCTCCGCACCCTATACGCATTCTGATCGAGTTTGTTCTTTTCCCCTGTCTCCCCCCCTCCCAACTCCAACTCTCAGAATCCCAACCTTTCGAATACGGGAAGTGATCCAACCGGCCGGTTGCCGCCACATTATTCCTCCACTCCTCCCAATCGATCCTACACGGCTTCACAGCAGCCTATCCATTGTCATTCGAATCCCGCGATTGCGCAATCTCTGCCAGGCACGGCACCCCCCACATTGAGGCACCAGCCCACGCAGCAGATTGCTTCACTCCCCACGACACTCCGCAACACTCCGTCCCCACTGACCAGAGATGGGCGTCATGCTCCGATGATGCCTGATGCCCAACCTCCTCCGCAGTGGATCGCTTCCCAAGCAGATTTCCCACTACATTCCTCCCAACAACCGCTGCCCTCTCGTGGACTGAAGAGCGTTCACGCACAACAGCAGCAGCAGCAACTTTCCCAAGTGAGCCCATCGTCTACTCCCTTCTGTCTTCCTCCCCCATGCTTTCAGCAACTCGGCTGACCGTCTGCACTAGTGCTTTGACTCCTTACACAACCTTTACATTTTTATGTCATAATCCTCTCGCTATTATCGCTTTCAGCGCCGCCATCTCAGGCTGAGACACTGCCCACTGGGTTTGAATGATCGAGGTCTTCTACTTCACAGTAGAACACTCCTCATAATGGGATTGCTTTTCGCATTCCGAGTACAATGCCCTTGACTCTATGGCAAACGTTGTTCCCGGCTCTCATACCGGGGCTACGCCCTTAGATGCAAGCCCGAAACTAGTCGTAGCACGCGCTACTATGAAAGTCCTTTTGATATGTGGTCCAGGTGTCGTATTTTATAAGGATCTCGACCTAAGTGAACACACAACACTTAGACTAACTGCTTGTGAAAACGTTAGTAGTGTTGGCCCTTCGATGCGTGTGAATGCAGTCCAGCGGGGAGTTTGTCTGTTCTTGCGTTAGTACGAGGCCGCTTTCTTATATTTTTGTTCAAGTATGAACGTCTCACGCCACTGACTAACATTTGTCATCTAACGATGAATTCTACAGTTCACGACAAGTTTATACTTGGATACGGTGCTTTGTATGGCAGCGGTAGTGATCAACTAATCCTGTTCGTGAAAGCTACCATCGTTCTCCTAGGTTTTCCAGATTTGACTGCACTCAACAAATTCTTATTTCCTAGGCCGTGATGTACTTCTTTGAACCTCATACTACTCCAACTGACTCTCAGTGCTTTGAAATTCATATGATTGCTTTTGTCCAACGCAGACTAATGGCTTAACTGTGATCTTACTTACCTGTATTTACCGCGTACTGGAAATCTCACTGCCTGTTCCTCACCGGCCCTGAATCAGCTTCCCTGGAAAACATTCATTTTATAGTATTCACCCAATGAAGTGATAGCTATCATGACCACTGCAACATGTCAAGAACTGCGCGGATTCTTTGCGTTAGTTCTTGCGGTAATACGAGCAAATGAAGACATTTTTCTATTTATCCTTATTTTTCCGTGTGTTACCCTTTTCCGCAGTACTCCTCAATCCCGAACTCCCAACTGATAAACAACAACAACAATAACGCAGGGCAGCCTTATCCTTTCCACTCGCAATTGCGCATCGCCGGCGACCGCTTTGCGCCCACCGGGGTCGTCACCGGTGGTGTGGCCTCAGCTTCATGTGTCGTCTCTCAACCAATGATGATGGGTGGTGACGTGGTCGGCGGCGTTGATCATCGGCCCAATGGTTCTCCTCAGCTCTGCATCTCCTCTTCACATTCAACGCATGCTCGTTTTGTCAATAACAATGGCACCATTTTTCAAAATGTACCCTCAAATAACGCACCCTCGTCATACGGTCTGTCAGCAATGGGCTCCCAAACATCTTCCAATGTGAGCTCCGGTTACAACGCGCAGGCTTGTGCTCAACGTGTTGTGTATCCCAACCAAGTCGGTTCGCAGCATTTGATATCCCCCAGCGGTTCATTAGTTTATCCCTCGAGTGCCGTCGATGGTTGCTATCAAACGCGTGGCCTACCACCTACCAGTTTATCGGGAGCTTCTAACTACCGCTTCGGGTGTGACTCCTCGAATGGGACAGTGAACCTGATGACAACAACCCCGCAGCAACAACCATCTAGATCGATGCAGGTCCCAATGTCCAAACAGCATCTGCTCGCACAACAACAGCAACAACCACAGCACACATCCCTGGACGGGTCAGGTTTTCAAGCGCTCCCTAATCGCATGATCCATTGTGGCCTGATGATGTCCGGGGACATGATGAATGTGGGTAACACGTCACAATCCAATTTTGCGTCGAATTGCCACGATTTCCAGCCACAGCAACCGCAGCAGCACCACCATCACCACCACCAACAACAACAACAACAATCAACGCACATGACCACCACCGATCCCTCCTTTATGTACAGTTCTGTTCGCTTTCCACATTCCACCTACGATGGGACTAGGTCTAGCGATCCTACGGGGTTCTACTAAAGCCAAACGGGGATTCTCTCTTTTCTCGAACAGCGGCGCACGGATACTTTTTTGCATTAAACTGTGATCACCTAGTGGTATTTGCTTCGGCCATTTGGCCAATTTCCTTTTCCATTAGTTTGTGTGAAGCATCTTTTCGGATTCCCCCGCCCCTTATTGTTATTGTCTTTATTCCACTATCTCTGATGCTTCGGCCCAGATGGGCCGATATATACATAAATAATAACTGCCCTCTTCCAATCACGTGAAATCATCCTCTGACTATCGAATGCTACTCCATCTGATTATTCCGCGTGGTTTCCTATGTGTGTGTGTGCATGTCTGCGTACGTGCGTATGCGTCGTTTCCATTTTTTCTCATTCCTGTAAATAATTCAGCCTTTTCTACTCTGTTTCCCTAGGGTGATGGTGGTGGTGGCGAGGGTGATGATGATGTTGATTTATCTACTAAACACATGAGTCGTCTTTCTCTTTTGCATTATGTGTATCATCGCCGCTTGGTGTGTGTGTGTGTGTGTCCCTATTTCGTGTTCGGTTGTTATTTTTTCTTCACTCGTGTAAATTGTCAACTCTATTCAAGATAGGTAAACATGTTTTCCAAAGTGAACCAACCTTGCTTGTTCTCTTGTTCGCATCTGTCTCACACATTTCCGATGGGAGTTTCCCGATCCTGTTGTGGCATCTAAAATCACGTTAAACGCGCCGATTCTTATTGGCATTGCCGACCATCCTATCCGCCTTGATGGAGTTGTTTTGATGACTTTTTTGTGTGCGTAATGTGTGGGCAACCCCAAAGTTGGCTGCCCCGCTTAGGACATATATACGTGTCTGACAGCGTTAGACCCACCGGATACCACCTGTGAATGGTGTGATTGTATTGGTTGATGGAAAGGATTTACAATGCTACTAGATTTACTCTAGGAATCAGCTAACTGACCAGTACATGCAACGGAGATGTATGTGAAGCCCTCGTTTGGATAAAGTGCCTCTAGTCCAAACAGCAGTTCGCCTTTTCTGGACTGTATTCCACGCGAACAGGTTACTGATTGAATTCGATTTAATGTGTCAACGGTTCTACCGAGACTAACACGGTCACCACACGACTATTCGCGCTTTTACTGCTGAAACGAAGGAAGAACACGGTCTGTACAGCCTGATATTAGTAGCCTCGCTATGGGGAGGGCGGCGTAGTCGCCACTTGATAATGGAACGAAGATGGTCATCGGACTGACGTAATTACTACTTGACAAACATATGAACAATGATATATTACAGGTAAAAAGGCGATTGCTTTACAAGTCCCGTAGGATGGTGGATGTGAAAGTAAACATAGTGTAAATCCTCAATTTAAGCGTCTAGCGATTCAGGTGCCCCTTATTCATATAAACATTTTAGAGTGTGTACTGAATTGTTACTGTAGAGTAATATGGGGAAGGTATGTCTTAAGAACAAAAGAAACGACAACGCTTACTCGTGCGCCGCTTTCTTGGACTGAGGTAATTGATGAATGTAGTTTTAATATATCCGAAACTATATTCCACAACAGCAGTGTGTAAGTAGTGAAGCACAAAAGCTGGGAATGAGCACCGTTTGTTCGCGTTTGGTTGACGTCGACATCTCTGATTATATAGTGCAATGTAAGTGGATAAGCGAACCATCCCGACATCTTTTGTATACCGTTAGTGTGGGGGAAGAAACAACGTATGTGGGAAGAGCGTTCCAGTGTTGATACACACGAAGGGAAGAGAAATTCCGGCGGCATTCCAACCGGCTGTGTTGTGTGTCCAGCTTTAGATAATGTCCTCTGAGTGTACTATTGCTATTCGGCTTTAGTTGGTGACGACAAGAATGGTTTGGATTTCTCAGGATCATATAAGTCATTATCAAGTCGCCACGCAGGCGTGGATATTGTCCACTGTAGACCCCGAGGGTTTTCAGCCTCAATCGGTAAGGGAGATGAAACAGACCCTTTACGTTCTTGGTAGCCCTTCGTTGTGGCAGTTCAAGAGCGGTAAGGTCTTGCTTTTGCCATGGCTGCCAGGCGTGGATGGCGTACTCAGAATGAGGCCGAATGTAGGCGTTGAGCATCTGAGAAAAGATGGAAGGATCGAAGCGCTCGAATGCCCTCCGCAAAAGGCCAAGGTGTTGGTTAGCTTTTTTGGAGTCGTTCTCGGCATGACGGGAACAGCCCAGATCTTCCTGCACCATCACGCCCAGATCACATTCCGTTGAAGTTCGCTGCAATATCTGATCACCCAGTCTGTATTCGCAAGTGGCTTTGTGGCGTATGCTCAACACCTTGCACTTTGTAGCCTTGAACTGAAGCAGGTTCTGAGTCGACCATTCGTAGACCCTGTCAAGGTCATCCTGAAGTGCTGCATTGTCGCTGGTTGTTCTAATAGCTCGCCATATCTTGAGATCATCAGCGAAGAGTAAGGAGTTGGAGGTGATTACTGTCACGAGATCGTTTATGTAAATCAGGAATAGTCGTGGACGAAGTACTGAGCCCTCGGGCACTCCGCACTTAACGTCGATTGGGTCGGAGATGACGCCGCGAACTCTTAGATAAGATAATCATGCAGTAGGCAGTCTGGTGCCGGTACCTCTGGGCTAGGCCGGATAAAATTTCCAACTGATAATGTTATTACCGATAGTGCGTCGCGTAACGGTTCCACAGTAACGTGAATGGCCAAATTGGAGGACGGGTCCGGCGCGAATTTCTGTGGAACCATGATGTCTTCACATGATCTTCATCGTTACACATTAGCTGAAGGTGAAAAACACACTCCAACTACAGTGCCACAATATGAAAATGGTACACAAAAAAGCGCGATAATAAAAATTATAGAATAAAAAATACAGGTAACAAATTACTTAGTAAGACCTTTTGCTTCAAGATAGGGATCGTGGTTGGAGTGGGAACATAACGAAAATGGGGCGCAACAACGAAACTCACAACACAAACGCCACTGAGGACGGCTCTTTACCAGGTCAACTAGTGTGTCCACCCGAACGCATTCATCGTCCTTCAGTCCCCAACCCTGCAGTCGGAAGACACCAACCGAGGTTAACTTCGAGGTGAAGACTTTCATTCCTCTTGGTCATTTCTTCCATCCATACCCCGAACGCGCAAACAACGCTTGACGCGAGGGTCGATGTGTTGACATGCGCAACATGTGGCGCAGCCATCGGAGCCTGATGCGTTAAATAACGGTGCGGAGCGGTTCACTCCCTGTTCCTGCACCAAATACGCGACGCCGAACACGCTCATGCTGTGCTCCCACCAGATATGAGCTAAGCCGCGAAAGCAGCGATGATCGAATGTAACTAGCATCTTTATGTCTGTGGACTTAATGGGCCAGGTTTTGCAACCGCACAAGAGCATTGAACAAACGACTATATTGGACACTGCCCTTCAGGGCGAGAGTGATATCGCGCCAGCGTCACAGGTGGTGGAGATTGACAACAGCGCTTCGTGTTTTTGCCATGCGGTTTGCTATCTCATCTTCCATTCCACTGGCGATATTATGGCTGTCTAGATATTCGAATTTCTTGACGACTTCTAGCTGCTCAACACTAAGGGTCAGCACATGAATGAGTCTCTTCCAATCTTAGAGGACTTTGCATTTCGACGGTGCAATACATAGCCCGAAACGACTGACAGCCAATACTTTTTCGTCTAGTGCAGCTTGGCACGTTTGGGATTTGTTATAGGTAAGAGCAATGTCGAGGCAATGGTATCTCTATAACAGAGCCCTAGTTTGTTGGACTGCCGCTGATTACGAAGTTATCAATCGCCTTACTTATCTGGACAGTCGTTGTATCACCCCTGGTAGTCATATCGCCCAAGGGGTCATCGCACGGTTGGACAAGGCTCGTACAGCTTTTGAAATCATTTGTCACCTGCAGAGAGCTTGGGATGTGCGCGTATTGGATATAGGAGAATGGTCCACAACTCCACGGTCTGGCTGATGTAACTATCGATCGGATATTTGGCCGCTGCGTGCAAAAGATGTCAGGGGACTGAATATCTTTAGGCACTGGTGACGGATAAGTATTGTTCCTCTCTGGAGGAAAAAACTGGGTGGGTAATGCGTAGGTTCGCTATGTGGAGTTCAGCAATAGACCGTCCGATGCCTCGTTGCTGCAGTGCCTGTTGAGCTCGAATCGGCTTCGTTGCCTCGGTCATTTGCTCCTTCGCAGGTCATCAAACGCCGCCTGTCTTGGTGTATATTGTTTGTCGCGCGGAACCCCAAAGTGGTCAATTAACAACGTTTCAATGAAGCGTGATTGTGATGCCCACCGAAGGGGCTGATTCGGGTTGGTGCTTCATGTCGCCCTTGAAACCGTCCGTATCAGTGGTTGGACACCGTATTGCATTCCATGTGGTCACGGCGTCAATACGGCTCTCGTATTTGTTCCTTCCCGCAGTTCGTTTGACGCTTTAATTTCTTGTTCCTTCCACTGCGGTTTGTTTTGCGAAATGTGTCAAGACAGCTGATTCCACCGCGGCTTGGTGTTCGGGGATCATGAATGATAAACTGCAAAAATTGCCCCCTGTGACAAAATGATTAGACCACCTATTTTTCTGCAGACTGCTGTCTCGTATGGACTGACCAGCATGTACTCGCGCATGGTTCTGTTATTCTGGGAAACACCCTCTCCGCAGGATCGCATAAGCGCCTTATCTAATTGATCAACGCCCCCGCTCGTCTGTGTGTGTACTCACATGACGCCTCCCTTTCCTCCTCGCGTTAAAGTGAACCTACTTGCTCCACTACGCCCACGCTTCCCCACGTTTGATTGTGCTACTGCTCGGTAAATAACTAAATCTGTGAAGCCTTGCAATCACCTTTATCAGGTCGTAAAACTACTCTGCCGAAGGCCTGTCTTCTCTTTCTTAGGTACTTCAGTAATGAGCGTCGAAGTCACATGCACATTGGAAAAAGTTCCGACGCAACCGCGCTATTCTCTTCGGAGTTAGAATCCTCAGAGACCGTGTTCGTCGTTCCCACTAAGCGAGCCGTTATAACTAGTTCTTTGTAACAGGTTCTGATGCGTTAGTGAACAGCAGTGTAATGCAGAATTACTTTATTCACACAAATCACCTTTGATGCGAGTGCAAATTGTCTAGGGCAGAATTGGCACTATACCGTTTCATCGGGTGAAGTCGACATGCATGTATGTAATTCAGAGCATGCCGCACAGTCGTCGAGCCGTGCGATTAGGTCATATCAAAGTCACAAAACCTCTGTGCTCATGAAGGGAAACAGGTGGGTGTTCCTCGTATTTGTGTGTACTGGCTTCCATGCATACAACTGAAGAGCTTCATTTCAGTTGCAAATAATCAGATTATTAACTCAGCTATAATGCCGTCCACACGATTGATTCGTTTCGATTATTCTCTTCAGTCGCAGACACAATACGAGCAGAAAAACACAAATGATCATGTACATCGAAAACTAGCAACACCAGTCAAAATGTTATAGTCGAAACCAAGGCAACTAAACTGTTTGCCACAAATTTCTGTGCGCATAACACAGGTTGATGGGCTTTAATTAGCAACGCATCACTAATTGCCAACACTATCACAGTCTTAGCGTTCATGTGACGACGGGTTGCCATGAGGCACTTGGGGCTAGACGATGGTGGGCTCCGATTAATCCTCAGGGAACACTGGGAATATTGATATATCGCACCCTGTTTTCTCTCTGCCTTGACGAAATGATTGAAATAGACTCA